GGGCCCGGCTGAAGGAGGCGGCGGCGGCGACAGTGCTGGAGACTTGGCACGCGGAGCCCCCCCCCTTCCGCTTCCGCCCCCGCCCGGGCGCGGACGCCCCTGCCTGCGCGTGACGTCACACCCCTAGTAACCGCGGCGGCGGCACTGACGACCGAGCCCGCCTTAAAGGGTCCTGCTCACGTGTTCCGGACACGGAAGTCCCGGCCGAGGCCCCGCCTCGTCGGGTGCTGGGGCTTCGCTAGGCATTTCCTGGGGGCAATACGGGCGGGCACTCCAACCACGAGCTCCCCTCATCTCCTGCCGCCTTGCGGTGGGCGTTTGCGCTTGCCGCAGGGGAACAGTTGATGAGACTTGAGGGAGAGGATTGTTCCCTTAGCCACGCCGCAGTGACGTCAGCCCGAGCCCCCTCCTGGGGAGGGGGGACCTCGGCGAGAAGACCGGCCCCTTACCCCTCGGGGATCTAACCCTTCGCTGGGGAGTGGTGCATGATCTAAGGAGATCTTTCCAGTCCGAGGGGACTTGGCCCTACGCTGGTAGAGTCTAAGTGGGTGTATGGCCCTGCGCTTGGAGGGGTAAAAATAGGGAGCTTGTGGCCCTGCTTTGGAAACTGGTGTTTCTCCGGCTGGGACCACATCCTCCACCTCCGCCTCCATCTCCTGCCACTCATGAGGGAGGACTTACGCTCACACACCCCCTCTGGAATCACCAGGACCCCTATGACGGGTCTCGAGCTCCAGCACACGGCGTCTCCCCGCACGGCCGCTGGGTGTCGCTAATGTCTAGCCAGCGGCCAGTGCTCGGGGCCGCGTGCCTGGTGGGGGATCGGGAAGGGGCGGAAGGGGGCTTTCCTTGTCGCAATCTGGAGCCGTTCATAGCCCCTCCCGGTTCGTCTGGGGCCCCCTTCCTGGGCAGGGGCTGTAAGCACTCTGTTACTCTGAGCTTGGGAGACCCCGGCAGTGCACTTTTGTACATCCCAACCCATGCTTTCATGCCGGGATAAAAGGCCGCGTTGCAGCCTAGGGCCAGGATTATCTCAGATTACAGGGTGCTCCGCGGGGGGGCAGGTGGGATGGGAGGAGCTCCAGCCACTCTGGTGTGGGGCGCCGCTCTCCCGGACGCGGTGTTGCGGAGTAGTGGGGAGCCTGCAGAGAAAGCAGTAAAGGTCTCCAGATGGGAGGGGGCGTGATTCCCCGGCCCGGAGAGGGGGAGGGACCGTCCTGACAAAAGCGCCCTCTCTGTGCCGCTCCTCCCCCTCGAGCTCCATTCAAACTCGCGAGTAGGCAGGCAGGGGCGGGGGAGTCCCCCTTGCCCCCTCCCCCTGCAGCCCGGGCAGTTCAGCATATCAGCGGCCGTCACTGCCCGGGCGCG